TGGAGGCTGAGGGAGGAGAATCACTTGAACCCGGGGGGCGGAGGTTACAGTGGGCCGAGATCGTGCCACTGCACTCCAGCCTGGGCAATAGAGCAAGACTCCGTCTCAAAAACAAAAATAAATAAATAAATAAAATAAAAGGGCCTTGGGGACTTTGAGGAAGGCAAGTGATGAGTAAAATAAATCAGTAAAATATATGGTATGTCAGGAGGTGACAAATCCTGGGGGCAGTCAGGGAGGAGAAGCAGAGGAATTGCTGCACTGGGGCTGAGGGGTTGAATAGTCACATACGATGGGCAGGTATCGCCTCCCCTGAGAGAGGTTAGGAAGGGAGGGGACAGCTTCTGGAAGTCCTAAGGCAGGAGGTGGCTGGCACATCTGCAGATCTGCATGACTGAAGACCACCATGGTCGCAGCAGAGGGAGGGAGAGGAGGGCTGGAGGGATGAGGGCCTTGTGGGCTCCTGCACTGTGAGCAGAGGAGGGAGTGATCCAGATTTCATTTTAATGGCTGCTGTGTAGGGAGTAGGGAGTGGACTATTCTTGGGCAAGGGTGAAAGCTGGGGACCAGTTCAGAGGTCATTACCATCACACAGGTAGCACGACTGTCACTTGGGCTGGGATGGTGGCAATGGAGACCAAGAGAAGTGGTTGGGTCCTAGATGTTTTGAAGGGAGAACTGGTCATGGCATGTGCTAACAGGTGAGAAAGACAGAGCCCCAGCACCATTCCAACATTTCCAGCTGAGCAGTTGGAAGGGTGGAGAAGACGGTTGGAAGAGCAAGTCTGGAGCGGGGCAGAGGAGGTGCCAGGAATTCAGCTTCGGACATGGTAGCTCTGAGATGCACGTTAGATACCCAGATGGAGCTGTCGGGCAGGCAGTTGGATATGCTCTTCTGGATTTCTGGTGGTGGCTAAGCATGTCACCGTCTCAATGACATTCAATGCCCATTACTGGATAAGGGCATGAAACAGCAAGTACTGACAGAACAGAGAAGAGGTGCCAGGGCTGAGTCCTAGGGCCTTCTGATGCAAAGAGGAGAAACCATCCATTTTGTTCACAGCTGTGCTTCCCAGAGCCTAAAATGGTGTCTGGCACAAAGTAATTGGTAGGTCATCATTTTTTGAATGAATAAACGAAATAAGTAGTGTTAAGCGCTAAGAAAGAAATAGAACAGGGTGATGAGTTCGAGGGCATGGGGGAGAGTGTTCTTCTCTAGATAGGGAAGCAGTCAGGGAAGGCCTCTTTGAGAAGGTGACATTTGAGCCAAGCCCAGAAGGACAAGGAGAAGTTCTGTAAAAAGTTGCAGAGAAAACTGGAAGTGCAAAGGCCCTGAGGCAGGAACAAATCTGGCCTTTTGGAGGCTCCATGTGCTCAGGGTATGGGAGGCTGAATCGCCCAAGAACTTTGTAAGCCCAGGATCTGGACTTTGGATCACATCCTGGGTGTCCTGGAGGTTGTTTTTTGTTTTTGTTTTTTTTTGAGACGGAGTCTTGCTCAGACGCCCAGGCTGGAGTGAGGTGGCGCGATCTCGGCTCACTGCAAGCTCCGCCTCCCGGGTTCACGCCATTCTCCTGTCTCAGCCTCCCGAGTAGCTGGGACTACAGGCGCCCTTCACCTCGCCCGGCTAATTTTTTTGTATTTTTAGTAGAGACGGGGTTTCACCATGTTAGCCAGGATGGTCTCGATCTCCTGACCTCGTGATCCACCTGTCTTGGCCTCCCAAAGTGCTGGAATTACAGGCGTGAGCCACCGTGCCCGGCCTTTTTTTTTTTTTTAGATACAGTTTCACTCTTGTTGCCCAGGCTGGAGTGCAATGGCGCGATCTTGGCTCACCACAACCTCCACCTCCCCAATTCAAGCGATTCTTCTGCCTCAGCCTCCCAAGTAGCTGGGATTACAGGTGCCCGTCACCATGCCCAGCTAGTTTTTGTTGTTGTTGTTGTTTGTTTGTGTTTTTGTATTTTTAGTAGAGACAACGTTTTACCATGTTGGCCAGGCTACTCTTGAACTCCTGACCTCAGGTGATCCACCTGCCTCGGCCTCCCAAAGTGCTGGGATTATAGGCGTGAGCCACCACACCTGGCTATGGTTTTAAGCAAAGAAGTTATGTGACCAGCTTAATATTTTAAATGATCCCCCCGAGGAACCTGGAGAACTTTCTGTAGGAAAGCAGGAGTAGAAGCAAATGGAGTGTCAGGAAAGACTCATGTAGCAGCCAAAGTCATAGCCAACTTCCCTGGGGTCAGGGGAGTCGGGAGGGAGAGGAATGAGCAGATTCAAGATATTTTAGGAACAGGATGGTAGGGCTGGGATTCAAGAGCCCCTGCTGGTTCAATCCCGACATGAAGATGTGCCCCATAGACAGACTTGGGAGGGCCTCAGGGAGAGGCCAGGATGCCTGTAGGGCCAGGGGGTTGCTCTTAAGGTCTCCCCTTAGTCACCTCAATCCAAGATTCCAGCGGCTTCCCCAGGCTGGAAGCTGTGCGAGGTGGTGGAAGGGGTGCTGTGGCTGAGAGGGCCATTCCATGCCGGGCTCTGAGCCACAGTTGTAAGGTAGCTAAGACCATGCCCGGTAATGGGGGAGAGCCCTTCCTTCCTTTTTCTTCATCAGATCTAGATTCCAGGCCGGCACAGTGGCTCACACACGTAATCCCAGCACTTTGGGAAGCAAAGGCAGGAGAATCACTTGAACCCTCCCAGGCTGATCTGAGACTAGTCTGGGCCACATATTGAGACCCCATCTCTTTTTTTTTTTAATTGAAAATTAGCCAGACATGGTGGTGTGCACCTATAGTCCCAGTTCCTCAGAAGGCTGAGAAGGGAGAATGAACCGAGGAGTTTGAGGCTGCAGTGAGCTGTGATCATGCCACTACACTCCAGCTTGGGCAACGAGTGAGACCCTGTCTCAAAACAACAACAACAAAATCTAGATTCGTGATCTCTTCCCAGCCTGGTCCTCCTCCAGTGCTCCCTCTGTCCAAATTTCTTCAATGCTCCTCCCACGGAGAGGTGGCAGTATGTCCCCTCCCTTGAATCTGGACCTGTGACTCCAGTAGAATACAGTGGGTCTGATGTGGTGCCAGGTTTCAGGCCCAGGTCTTAAGAAACTGGCAGCTTCTGCTTCCTGTCTCCTGGGAGGCTTTCTCTGGGAACCCAGCCACCACGCCGTGAGGGAGCCAAGCAGCCACATGGAGAAGCCACGCAGAGCGATCCTGGCCAGCACCCCCAGCTGAGGCTGTGGCGGACAGCTGGCATCAGCTGCCCCACGTGTGAGTGAGCAGATGACTCCAGCCCCAACCTGTAAGCCACCCTAGCTGACCTCCCTTTGGAGGAGCGCTGGGCTGTCCCATATTGCAGGCTTGTGAGCTTAATAAATGATGATGATTGTTTTAAGCCACTAAGTTTGGGGTGGTTTGTTGTGCAGCAATAGATAAGTGGGACACAGTGCTTCACCCCTCCAGGGCCTACCAAATATCACTGAGTTTTCCTTCTACATACCCCTTGAATCTATCATCATCTCTCCATCTTCTCTGCCATCCCATCTGTCACCTAGACGACTACATTAGCATCCTAGTCAGTGTTTCCCCACATCTTGCAGCCACAGGGTTCTGTTTCCCACACAGCAATCCAGAGAACCTGCTGAAAAGCATATCTGATGGCCTCCCCAGCCAGTCTGCACACACTCGAAATGCTCAGTGGCTCCCCACTGTCCCTAGGATCAGGCTCACCCATTTCTTTCCCCCTTTGGCTTCGCCCACATTGGCTTGTCTTCTCGTCCTCTGGTATTCCACATTCCCTTTGCCCCAGGGCATTTGCACATACTGTTCCCACTCCCAGAGATGCTCTCCCCCACCCAGTTAATTATTTCCTATTATTTCTTGTTCATGCTTTAGGTCTCAGCTCAAATACCACCTCTCAGTGAGTTTCTTCCAACCCAGTGGTTCTTAAAACGGGGTCCCTGACCAGCAGCATCTGGGAACTTGTTAGAAATACAAACATCCTGGGCCAGGCGCATTGGCTCACGCATGTAATCACAGCACTTTGGGAGGCCAAGGTGGGCAGATTGCTTGAGTCCAGGCGTTCAAGACCAGCCTGGGCAACATGGAGAAACCCTACCTCTACAAAACAAAACAAAACCATCACCAACAACAAAAACTAGCTGGGCATGGTGGTGCATGCCTGCAGTCCCAGCTACTCGGGAGGCTGAGGTGGGCGAGTCACCTGAGCCGAGAAGTCAAGATGGCAGTGAACCGAGATGCCACCACTGCACTCCCGCCTGGGCAGCTGGAGTGAAACCTTGCCTCAAAACAATATAAATAAATAAATAAAACGGACACATCCTCAGGCCCAAGCCCAGAACTAAGGCGTCAGAAGTTCTGAGACAGGGCCCAGCAGCGTGTGATGAGCGAGCCGTGCAGGTGATTCTGATGTACACACCTGAGAACTGCTGCTCTGAAGCCCCAGCTTGGATCGTGGACTTTTTAGGTTCTCCCAGCCCTGAATCCCTTTCCTTCAGTGGGTTGTGTTTGTGATGAAACAGATTGTCTGATGGATGCGTAATCTCATAAACCTGAGCGCAGAGCCCGCTTGTTTTTTGCTCATCACCGTAGCAGCACCTAACCCTGTGCCTAGCACATATGAGGGCTTAAGGATGTGGGTTGAGCAAATACTCAGCCTCCAGATGGTCACGAGCCGGGGAGGAGCAGGGCCTTTTATATGTCTGGGATCCTAAAAGTGCCCAAGGGGAGGATGCAAAACTTTAAAGGACCTGGGGAGGCTTCAGCCTCCACAGAAAAGGGGTCATTCAGAAGGCTGAGAAAGGTGTCCAAAGCTTCCCTGCCTTCCTTCCCTATCCCAGTCCCCACCCTCCACAGCCTGGGAGAACCCTCAGCTGACTTCTGTTGAGCAGGAGCCAGGCCTTGTTCTATGGGTTCTATATCATGTAATACCCTCAACAAGCTTCTGAGTTGTGTATGATTAACATTCTCATTTTACAGATGGGGAAACTGACTCGATGAAGTGCCAGCTTGGCTGCAGTCAGGCTAGAATCAGGACTGGAACCCAGGCTGTGTGGCTACGGCCCTGACCCTCACCATCCATGTCAGGCAGAGAACACTCAGGTGGGGCAGGAGGTAAGGTGGGGGCTGTAGGGAGCCTCATGTGTCTCCAAAGGGACTAGGGGCCTGTGAGGCAGTAGGTCCAGGAGGACCTTTCCAAATTCTCAAGAGAAACCAAAAATGTGAATCTTAGTATAAAATCCCCCTATGTCTAAATGTTGGCAGATGATTAAACTTTTAAAAAACTCAGATGCCACTGGGTACGGTGGCTCATGCTGGTAATCCCAGCACTTTGGGAGGCTGAAATGGGAGATCACTTGAGCCCAGGAGTTTGAGAGCAGCCTGGCAACACAGTGAGATCCCTTCATCTCTAGTCAAAAAGATGTTTTATTTAAAAACAAACAAACAAACAAACAAACAAACAAACAAACTCAGGTGTTTCCAGAGACCAGATGAATACCTGCTCTGATGCGAGGATGGGGATGGTGCCAGAGGCCCCACGGCCATGTCAGTGTCTCTGCTTCTGCCATCTGCAGGGCCATCCACCTCACATTCTGGGATCACCCTCCATGGGATGCAGACCTTGCTTTCCCTTCAGGCAGACTCCAAATATTGACCCTTACCTTCATGTCTTGGCCCCCACGGTGTGGGGCTGGGTTGGCTTGGTCACAGCTGCTTCCCCAGCCCCAGGCCTGCGTGGAGAAGGCACTCACTAAATGTTTGCTGTTGAGGTAATCAGGCTGGCCTCTCTACCCCAGTGCACCACGGCCCCGCCCTCTCCCCCACCCCAGCTGGGCGGGGCAGGTGCTGGTGGGTTAAAAGCTGGTAGCTGGGGGCTTTTCAGATGCTGGGTCCTCCATGGAGCCTGAGCTGGGCATGGCTACTGCAGGCCTTGTGAGTGCTCCTGCCTTCCCCTCCTGGAGCAGGGGATGGGCAGGGTGGGCACAGGGACAGGCAGGGCCAGAGCTCACTACCCATCCTGACTCCTTTTTTTTTTTGCTCAGGTGAGTGAAGCTAAGGGTGGAATCCAAGAGTGGAAGGAGGAGGAGAAGGAGGAGGAGGAGGAAGCAGCAGAGAGGACGCCCATGGGAGAAGAGGTTCCAAACTCTCCCAGGACTTTGCTGTCTCTGAGAGGGAAGGCCCGGATGGGGATCCCCATGGAAGTCAAGCTGGAGCTGCACCCCCTGCAGAACAGGTAGGAAGGAACCTGCGAGTGGAACACAGCCCCCTGCTTTCAGGCCAGACTCTGTGCTGGCAGCGTGGCCTTGGGCAACCGCTCCTTTCTCAGCCCTAGCTCTTCATCCGTGGGAGGCCAGAGCTGACCTAAGCCTTGGGCCCTGTTGACCCTTCCAGCCCTAACCCCTCAGAGACTGTGGGTCAAACACCCCTACTCCTCCCCTGCCCTTCAGGACAACTGATTTCATTCAACTAAGAGCGGAATTCTGTGCCCCAAATCTCATCTCCCGGTTCGCCCTTGAAGGGGAGGGTCCTCCCTGTCAGTCCAGGTGTCCCAGGAGTGGACTCAGGAGCTCTCTGCTTCCGCCTGGCTACCTCCCGCTTCCCCCACCAGGTGGGCTCTGTGGTTCTTCAAGAATGACCGCAGCCGGGCCTGGCAGGACAACCTGCACCTGGTCACCAAGGTGGACAGTGTGGAGGACTTCTGGGCGTGAGTGTCTGTCCCCAGTGGGGCTAGAGTTGGGGGTCTCTGAGCTCTGGGCTCCCTCTCTCCGGGTTGAGCCAGCCCTCCCTAGGGCCTTTCAGCCTTGGTGAGGGCTGGGGCTTGGTGGGTTCTGCCCAGGGGGTGTAGAGCACAGCCACCCCCCACCCCACCACCTTCTCTGGGCTCAAGGAGAGAACCTGGGGAGTGGGAGGAGCAGGGAGCTGACCCTGACTCAGCCACTGCATGACTTCGTGACCTGGGCAAGTTCCTTCCCCTCTCTGAACCTGTCTCAGCTGCAAGGGGAGGACTCGGCCGCCCCAGTGTCCAGGTGCTCACAGGAGTGGCTCTGAAAGGGCTGCACTAAGCCCTAGGGAGGGCGAGAAGGCCTCGGCTGTAGCTGGAGGGGGGTGCACGAGGGGGTCCAAAACCCTCCCCAGGGGTTGGCTCAGCCTTCACTGGGAAGGCTCCGTGGAGAAGGTGGGTCTTGAGAGTTTGGATAAACGGGGGGTGAAATCCCAGGTGGCAGGCCAGTGTAAGCAAAAGCTTGGAGGCCATGGGGTCGGATGAGGAGTTGGGAGGGCTGAGCCCAGTTGGAACCAGGCCCTAAAAAGCCTTGACTTTTGGCATGGGGGGGCGGGGGGCTCTGTCCAGGCTCTACAGTCACATCCAGCTGGCCAGCAAGCTCTCCTCCGGCTGTGACTATGCCCTGTTCAAGGTAAGCTCCCTTTCCCTCCTGCAAAGGGACAAGGGGTTGATCCCTCCCGGCTTCCACTGCATTAATCCCTCAGAGGAGTGGGGGTGGGGAGCTACGGGCCACCTCTCAGCACAGTTGCGGTTTCTGACTGGAGGAAATGCTTTACAGGAGCCCATACTGAGTAGGTCAGGCCCAAGCCGCACCTTGGAGGACCTTAAGAGGCGGGAAGGGGAAGAGGGAGGGAGAGAGATTGCTGGCCTGGCTCCTTAACTAGGGAAGGGCATCAGAATTGCTTGAGGACACTCACTGATGCCACACCTATCCCTGGAGGGCTGACATTTAGAGATCTCCCCAGGTGACTTCTGCCCTGCCTGGGAACCATGCAGCCAAGCCCGGGATGTCCCCCTTGCCTGCACTGGGGTCTGCCCCCTGAGGCTTCCATAATCCACCCCCATTTGAATGCTTGTCTCTAGAAACTCAGTAAAGGAGACATGCACATATACAACGCTATACAAGGTGACCAGTGCTGTCTGTCCGGGGGCTGAGTAGCTGGGGGTGGAACCTGCTTGCACAGAGGGAAGGAGGATAAGAGAATCTGGCCTACTTAGGGCCTCAGCAGAGAGCGGATAAGACTGGGATGGTAGGTGGGTCCCCACTTCCCTTTGAACACAGGGAGGCAGTTGACTTGCCATCTGCCTTGCAGGATGGCATCGAGCCCATGTGGGAGGACAGCAGGAATAAGCGGGGTGGCCGCTGGCTGGTCAGCCTGGCCAAGCAGCAGCGCCACATTGAGCTGGACCGGCTGTGGCTGGAGACGGTGAGTTGGAGGAGGAGGGTCCTCAGGGGAAGAGACGGGCTGTGTGGGTCTCATGGTGGCAGTGGTCTCAAGGATGGCAGGCCAGTCCCTATGTCCCAGCCGGTGATCTCACAACTCCCTACTTCCGGTCCAGCTGCTGTGTCTGATCGGGGAGAGCTTTGAGGAACACAGCAGGGAGGTATGTGGGGCTGTCGTCAACATCCGCACCAAGGGGGACAAGATCGCTGTGTGGACGAGGGAGGCAGAAAACCAGGCGGGTGTGCTGCACATTGGGTGAGGAGGTTCTCTGGCACGGGGTGGGGGCTGGGTCTCTTCTAGAGGGAAGGTGGGTGGAGGTGGCTTGGCCTGCAAGGGAGACCTCTGGAAGTCTCCATAGCCTGTCTCCTTTCTGCCTTGCCCACCTGTTTGGAAGGGTCTGGTGTCCAGATTTCTAACTTTCTATTATGGCAGTGCAGTTCTCCTTTTGCATTAAGGGGGTCATATTTTGTTTTTCCACATGGGTAAGACACAACAGGTGTGGCTGTGGCCAGAATGAGGGTAGGAGTCTGGTGGCCTAGGTTACCTCTAGGACCCTCTGATGACTACCTGTGTCTCTTTTCCTGTGTCCCCCGCACCTGCAGGCGTGTATACAAAGAGCGCCTGGGCCTCTCCCCGAAGACCATCATTGGGTACCAGGCCCACGCAGACACAGCCACCAAGAGCAACTCCCTAGCCAAGAACAAGTTTGTGGTGTGAGGGGGGCCTTGGCACCCCTTCTCTGTAATGGGACAGCCACCACCCGAGCCTCATTACTTTGCGGGGGTGGAGTGGGGTGGGACTGGGGATCAGACAGCCCTAGTTCTTACCTGTCCTCAAGTGAACAGGAATGCAAACATTCTTTAACATGAGTTGGGGCCTGGGCCCTAGGGGCCAGGTGGGGGTAGTGGTGGCAGTCTGAGGACCTAGCTTGTCCCGGGGCCACAGGACAGCAGGAGGGTGGAGGAAACTCCCGGGGGTGGGGTGAGTCATGGGGGGAAGGAGAGCTCTATGGTAGGTGGAGAAGCCCACGGTCCAGTGTTTACTTTGTTTCTACCCAAGAAGGGGGCGAGGTGACCTGAGAGACAGACTCTCCCATGGGTGGGGGGCTCAAGGGCACAGACACTCTGGAGGGTGAACGCCATCATTTGTACAGAGGGATATGTGGGTTGCTGAGGACTGGGAGAGCCGTGCAAGGCCGCTCCCCTTCTCACTAGCTGTGGCCAGGCTGTCTGGGGCTTGCCTGCCTCAGGACCAGACTGAAGTGGAGGTGGGGGGATGCTGGGCTAGACCTCACCAAGGTTCTGGTAGAAGTGGATAAACTTGATAATAAAAGCTTAAGCATGTTTCTGTTCCTGTTTTAAATAAATACTTCTGAACAAAGTTGGAATTATTTTTAAGAGCACTTCAAACTGGAGTAAGATTCAGATTCCCCCAAACTTTGATCTGCCCGTGTCCTGTCTTACAGGGGCTCATGTGAGATCACTGGGTATCAAGGAGCCTGACCGGGACCCAGGCCAGTATGGAGGATAGGGGGTGCGGCTGGGGGAACTCAGCCACCAAAGGGGATTGAGCCAGGTGCTGCGGCATATGCACTTGGCAGGGTGCAGCCGGCGTGGCACCAAGGCCCAGGCCCTCGTTTGGCCTGAGTTTGAGTCAGAATAAGTAGAGCTGAATTGCCGCTGGGTGAAGGTGAGCCTGATGCGACGCCACAATGATAAAACGTCCTGCACGTGTTAAAAACTCAATCCGGACCAGCTTCCCCATTCGCCTCCCGGAGCCGCAGTTAATCTTCCCCTGGGATGGGCTCCAACAGTAGGCTGGGGATCGGAATGGCGCTGGTACCTAGCAGGGGAAGCAAGGCAGCCTCCGGTGCCATCAGCCGGCGTCCCAGGCGGGTCTGCAGGACGCTGGGAAACGCGGCGGCTGCGGCCTGCGCGGGGGCGGGGCCTGGCCGAAGGCGGGGCTGCGAGGAGGTCCGAATCAGGCTGCGGGGACGGAGCTCGGGGGCGGAGCCAGATCCAGAGGCTGGGCTCAGACGGGACTGAGTTGGGCTATGGGGGCGGAGCCAGGTGAGAAGGCGGGGCTCCAAAGGGACTAAGGGCCATGGGGGCGGAGCCTGATGCAGAGGCGGAGCCCGGTCCAGAGGCGGGGCTCGGACAGAGGCGGGGACAGCAGGGCTCCGGGCAAGGCGGTCTGGATGCTGAGGGCGGTCCCTGAGGGGCGGGCGGGGCCCGACCGGCGCTCTGTGTGGCCGAGGCGATGAAGCCTCAGCCGCCCGGCTAGGCCCCGGGCGGCTCTAGCCCAGGGCGGCCCGCGGGGCGCTGGGCCTGGCTCCCGGCTCCGGTTTCCGGGCCGGCGGGTGGCCGCTCACCATGCCCGGCAAGCACCAGCATTTCCAGGAACCCGAGGTCGGCTGCTGCGGGAAATACTTCCTGTTTGGCTTCAACATTGTCTTCTGGGTGAGCGCGGGGTCTGCGCCTTGCCCTGTGCTGGGGGGTGGTGGGAGAGGGAGATTCAGTCTTCTGCTGGGGGAGACCACTCCCTGCCCCAAGAGTTTGGAGCTCGGGACCATCCCCCCCAGTTCTGCCACCCCCACGCCCACTTCCAGGACTACCCGAGGTAGCTACAGAGGCCCGGATTGCTGGGGGCGGGTCCCAGCTACAGCGTGGGGTGGGGGTTGGGGTAGGGAGTCTCCCTGAGTAATCCCGAGGCCCTGTGGAGAAAGGGAAGGTGTTTCCTTGAAGACCCTAGGGGCGTGCTAGGTGCAGGTTGCCCCCTCTCTCGCCCAGCCCTCCTTCCCTCCCTGGGATGTGGGATGTGGGATGTGGGATGTGTGCCAAGCCCCACCACTGGTTTAGCCGGTAGGGAGGAGATTCTGGCGTGAAGGGAGCCACCGGGCCCTTTACCCAGCCTCCTTTCCCTTCCAGTAGTACCTGGGTCAGGTGCCTCACCTTAGGCTCCTGCAAAGTGGGGTGGGTCACAGCCCTCTCCCCACCTCAGTCCCGCACAAGGAGGCTGACCTGCCAGGATGGGCAGGGAGGGGCAATAGCGAGTCCTTGGTGGCTGGGAGGGGATCTCCCCGGTTCAGAGCCTGGGAGCTGGCCTTGGGGAACAGAATTCAACATTCCACAGCTGACAAGCTCAGGCTCCTGGGCGGAGCTGCCCCTACGGGGGAAGGGAGCAGCTAGTGCCCCTCCCAGGGTGGTGTCTGTCCCCCTGGGCCATGCCAAGTCTTTTTTCCCATCTCTCCAAAGCTGTGGCCTCTGCAGTCTCTGCTCCTGAGGCCTTAGGTCAAGATGCCAGGCCCTCCCACTTGTGTTCAGCAAGACTCAGTGGCACTGCCCAACACCCACATGCCACCGAGCTCACTGGTGTGGTGGGTGCCCTTGCACTGCAGCGCTAGGCTCTTGAGGGTGTGGGCAGTGTGTGGGAGCACTGGCAAGGAAGTCAGAAGGCCTGGCTGTAGCAGGCCTGGCTGGGACACCTTGGGCAAGTCACCTCTCCTCTCCAGGCCTCAGCTTTCCTGCCCGGGAGGGGATGATAAAAAATCTGCCCGTGAGGGCTGTGAGGCAGATACAATCAGTTCAATTTGTTGTGTTCTCTCAACTACCTTATTATCTACATTTTACAGATGGGGAAACTAAAGGAATACACACAGAAGTTAAGTCACTTACTTAGGGTCACACAGCCAGAAAGTACAGAGCCAAGGTGACAGCCCAGTGGGCTGAGGGTGGAGGTGAGGCAGAGCCGTGAGCAGAAGTCACCTCAAATACCGAGGGGGAGCAGGTGTGAGAGACCCGGGTTTGTTGCTGGGGCGGAGCGTGGGGTGTTATGTTAAGGCGGCATGGAGAAGTGAGGGCTTCAGGTGATGGGTCTGATCTGGCTTCTGTGCTGGAGACCGCTTGCCTGGCTGATGTGTGGAGGGTAGGTGAGGGGTAGGGCCTGGAGGTTTGGAACGGGGGCAGGGCTGGGGCAAAGCTGGGATGGTGAGGTGGGAAAGGTGAGGAAGGCTGCTGGGAAAGTCAAGAGGCTGAATTGACTGGGCTGGGTCACTTGGGGCCTGGAGAGAAGATTTCAGGTTTGGGTCAAGGTGGCCTAAGGGAGGATGCCTGTGAAACAGGCCCAGAGGTTTTCATGTTTAATGTCAGGCAGACCCTGGTGTTGCTCTGCTTGGAACCTGCTTGTGGTTTCTTTTTTTCTTTTCTTTTCTTTTTTTCTTTTTGAGACAGAGTTTCACTCTTGTTGCCCAGGCTGGAGTGCAATGGCACAATCTCGGCTCACTGCAACCTCCGTCTCCCGGGTTCAAGCGATTCTCCTGCCTCAGCTTCCCAAGTAGCTGGTACTATAGGTGTGTGCCACCACACCTGGCTAATTTTGTATTTTTAGAAGAGATGGGGTTTCTTCATGTTGGTCAGGCTGGTCTCGAACGCCTTACCGCAGGTGATCCGCCTGCCTTGGCCTCCCAAAGTGCTGGGATTACAGGCGTGAGCCACCGCGCCCGGCCATCTGGCTCATGGTTTCTGACTGCTGCTAGAGTACTGTCTAGTCTCCTCTCCACAGCCTCCAGGGCCCTGTGGGTCCGGGCTGTCTGCCCTTCAGTTTGTTCCTTGAACTAGACGTGGTCTTGTGTCAGGGCCTCTGCCTCTGCCCAACCCTCCTCCCGGAACAGGCTTTTCCCTCTGGATTCTGCTGGGGATCATTGAGATTCCTCGTCATTCCAGGGCATCTGATTGTGAGCCACAGAAACTGACTCTGGCAGGCGGTTAAAGGGGTAGGATGGGGCTGGGGAGGAGTGTCGAAGGTGGGGCAGCAGTGACAGGACTCTAGGGCAGCAGGAGAGCTGGACTTGGGAGGGTGCAGAACGGAGGCTAGGAGCCTGGAACCCAAACACCAGCTTCGGTCAGGAGTAGAGGCTCAGTGTGCTGGTGCCGTCACTACCCCTGCTGCCACTGCTGCTATTGCTCCTTGGCAGGAGTGTCTTGGCCACAGTCTGCTCCAGTTTGGAGTTCCAGGAAGGGGCCCCTGATGTCCATCCCAAGGCTAGGGGAGGGTTCAGTCCTCCAGGCTGTGTCCTGTGGGGAAGAAGCACTGGGATATGTTCTTGGGAAGATGGAAAGGACCGCAGATCCTGTTCACAGCCCTTGTGCCTCTTCCTCTCTCCACTGGCTTCCCAAAGGCCCTGCCCACTGGGGAAGGATGAGCCGGGAGAGTCCTGGGGCTGCTCCCAGCCCTGAGCTCTTTGCTGCTGCCCTTGCAGGTACTGGGAGCCCTGTTCCTGGCTATCGGCCTCTGGGCCTGGGGTGAGAAGGTAAGGCAGTGGGCGGGCGTGGGGCTGGTGTGGGACGAGGTGGTGGGAAGGTCAGCTCCCCACACCTGCCTCTGCTGCCCGGCACAGGGTGTTCTCTCCAACATCTCAGCGCTGACAGATCTGGGAGGCCTTGACCCCGTGTGGCTGTTTGTGGTAGTTGGCGGCGTCATGTCGGTGCTGGGCTTTGCTGGGTGCATCGGGGCCCTCCGGGAGAACACCTTCCTGCTCAAGTTTGTGAGTGCTGCCCTCGAGATCCACTGGGAACCCCAATCTCCTCCCGTCCAGTTCTTGCAACACAGTTGGAGCCTAATGATGTGTAGCTTTATTATTATGCTATAATCGTCATCGTTAGATTTATGTTATCTATATTTACTAGGATCCTTTCTGTGGTATGGTAAGTGACCGAGACCTGGTGGCCCAAGTATAAAATGTTTATTGACTCAAATAAGAAAAGTCCAGGGGTGTGCTGGCTGCCGGTGCATTTTGATCCAGGGGCTGCTACAGTGTCACTTGGCCTGCTTTCTCTCTGTTTCTCAGGTCCCCCCGCTCCCCCGTTTTGGCTCCATTCCTAGGTAGCAGGAGGCTCAGGAACAGAGCCGGCTTCCCCATGCCCTCCCAGGAACTCCTGCTGGAGGCTGAGAGCTCTCTTCCCAACTGTTTTCCCAAAGTGCTTTAATTGCATTTCCTTGGCTCTGATTGGCTGCCTCTGGACCAATCCCTGGAGGCCGAGGGAGGTAGTGCTCTGATTGGTGAGCTTTGGGCACTTGCCAGTCCTGTATCTGGGACTGGTGGGTGCGGGGATGTGGCTCCATCCGAACCTTGGAAACTAAAGGTTTGCATGGAGGATGATTTTTCAGAGAGAGCAGGGTGTGATTACCAGACAAAGGGAATTGGATGGGTAGGTAAGAACAGATGCCTTTTACCATCATATAACAATACTGAAATAATAGAAGGTGGGGACTCTGGGCGCCTCTGGGTCTTGGTGGAGGTAGAGATGGAACCCTTCCCTGTGGCACAGTCAAGCCCTGGGAGGCCACCAGAGCCCTGCGTCTCCAACCCCCACTGTCTGTATGCCCCAACCCCAGTTCTCCGTGTTCCTCGGCCTCATCTTCTTCCTGGAGCTGGCAACAGGGATCCTGGCCTTTGTCTTCAAGGACTGGATTCGAGACCAGCTCAACCTCTTCATCAACAACAACGTCAAGGCCTACCGGGACGACATTGACCTCCAGAACCTCATTGACTTTGCTCAGGAATACGTGAGTCCAGTGTCCAGCCTGGGACACTTGTAGGAGGCACCTTCCTGGCAGACGAATGAGGAAGCAAGTTCCCTGTGATGGGACCATCTCCTTACCCACCTGGGCTAGCGGGCCCCAGGAGAGAGACCCAGGAGTGTCCTCGTCCGAGGAGAGCCAGCCCCTGGTGATCCTTATGGCTCCCTATTTGCCTAGTGCCATAGGGCCACGGCCTTGGGGAACAGAGGGCATGGGCTCCACACTGGCAGCTCCCACGCCAGGGCCCGCGACACAGAGGAGAATGGAGAAAATGAGACGTAAAAATATAGATTTCTACTTCTGCTCAACCCTGGGCCCACAGTATCAGCTGGAGCTGTTGCTGCTGCCCTTTTACTGGTACAGAGGCTCTGTTTGCCACTGTTCCCAACACTCTGTATTTTATTATATCTGTCAGCCCTTATCTCTCATTTATACTGTATTTGGCCTCTGTGCATATTAGAGTTTAGCCCCCTGACGGAAGGTCTGCCCTCAAGCTTGCAAACTTAACCCTAGTGAAGAGCAGCCAGAGAAGAGTTCCCGAAACCCTGTCTGCCTCCCACCTGCACCATCTCGCCCACTCACCCCTTACCACAAACACACAGTCACACACTGTCACCCACAGTCACACCCACACCCAGTCACATACTCACAGGCACACTTGATCACACCTGCACCTACACATGGTCCCACAGTCACACATGAGTCACACCCGATCACACCCACGCATGGCCACAGGCCCTTGGCACCAGTCACTACCAAGAGTCAGCTCTGGATCCAGAGATGAGGCAGAGCTGGTGCCTGCTTCAGGCAGCTCTCAACCCAGGGCAGAGGCAGACATAGCCAAGCAGTTATGATGCAATTCATTCATTCAGCACATGATTGTTAAGGGCCTACCATATGCCAGACCCCAAGCCAGGCCCTGGGGATTTGGCGGGGAAAAAAGCTGGGACCTGTCCTCTCAGGGATAGCAGTTGGGAAGAGACAGATGGTGAACAAGCAGAACAAACGAATGTGTGCATGTACACACATGTGTGCAAAATTGTACATTGTGGTAAGAGTCAAAATGAAGGGTGGAGAATGGGAAGGCCTCTGCGTGGAGAGCCTGAAGCCTCCCAAAGGAGGAGAAGGAAGAGAAGGGAGAGTGTTCTCTAGCAGGAGCAGCTGGCACTGAGCAGGTGCCAGGAGGCAGATGGAGGCTGAGCCCTACCCTGGGACCAGCACATGCAGGGCGTGTGGCAGGCCTGGCTCCTCCAGCTCTCTGGCTCGGCCTCGGGGCCTGTCTGTCTGCTGCCGAGCTCGAGCTCCCCCAGCCCTGTGTGCTACTCTTCAGCCGCGGTGCTGCTGCTCAGTGAAGGCTGTGCGCACCCGTGTGCCCCACAAGACCGTGGTTCATGGCAGATCCCAACCTCGCCTTTGCCCCGCCTAGGGGACAGCTTAGGGTGTTCTGGGTGGGGGTGATAGGGTGCGGATGATGCCAGCTGGTATGGAGGAAATGGGGTGGGATGGCTATGGGAGTGGCAGGCTGGGGTGGGCAGGACTCCCCTCCTGTCCCTGCACTGCGGAGAAGAGGGCTTTGTAGAACCTCTGGGGCAAGTGTGGGAGGCCTGCTGCAGACATGGGGCCCAGCGGTCTCTGCCACCACAGGGCTTGGCCCAGCGCCTGCCTCTCAGGTAGTCCGGAGGAAGCCATGGTCGTTGAACCAGTATCCTTGTCCCACTCCCCCCCTTTTCCTAGCCTCTCTTGGGCCGGGGGGAAAGCTCAGGATCCCCTCCCTTGCACCCCTCTGCTTCCCCAACCTGGAACCTGGAGGTTGGGCCCAGGCCTGTGGGGATGGGGAGGTGGCCACCCACCTGGCTGTCCCAGCCCCGTCCCTGACAGCCCTGTTTTCCTGCAGCCTAGGCTTGTCCCCAAACAGGCTGAGGCTCCCGGGGTGGGCCTGGCTCACCTGGGGCTCTCCCCTTGCCCCACAGTGGTCTTGCTGCGGAGCCCGAGGCCCCAACGACTGGAACCTCAATATCTACTTCAACTGCACTGACTTGAACCCCAGCCGGGAGCGCTGCGGGGTGCCCTTCTCCTGCTGCGTCAGGGACCCTGCGGTGAGTGGGGCTGGGGGAGGAGAGGTGCGGGGCTTTCCAGTGCACAGACTCGGGGGAAGCCCCCCACGGGGCCCGCTCTGCTCTGTCCTGCTCTGGAGGCACGGATGCTGGGGGAGGCTGTTTTACATGGGTGGCACTGAAGCCTGTTGGGGCGCGGCCGCTTTCCCTGTTCAGCAAGACCTGTCTTTTCTATTGTAATGAGATGGAAACCGCAGGACGCTGGGGCACAGGGATGGGGACTGGCCTGGAGGGCCTCCCTGCACCCTGTACATCCACAGAAACACAGCCGCAGCCATTGTCTGCCCCTGGCCAGCTTGAAGGTTGGCCAGGCTGTCACTCTCAGTTACAGTTGTATGTGGCAGGGGTCGCCTGGGCCATTGCCAGCCACCACCCCACTGGGCCACCATTGCAGGGTAGGAGTGAGTGGGGACCTCTGTCCCTTATGACTTTCTTCAGGGCAGAAACCTCTCCTGGTGATGTTTCTTCAGTCACAATTCATCTGGGATGCCAAGGGCCAGGTTTCTCCCCATTCTTATCTCCCTATAAGATAAGGCAGGATTCCTGAACGGAGGCAGATCTAGGTTGGCGATTGCAGCCATGCATTCCAGCGTCTGGGAAAGAGGCACGTGGGGCCGGGTGCAGTGGCTCATGGGAGGATCATTTGAGTCCAAGAGTTCGAGACCAGCTGGGGCGACACAGTGAGACCTCAGGTCTACAAAAAAAAAAATTAGACAGGCATGGTGGCACAATCCTGTGGTCCCAGCTACTTGGGAGGCTGAGGTGGGAGGATCACTTGAGCCCAGGAGGTTGAAGCTGCAGTGAGCTATGGTCATGCCACTGCACTCCAGCATGGGCAATGGAGTGAGACCCTGTCTCAAAAAAAAATAAAAGAGGCACATGGGCCTCAGAGAGCCTCACTTAAGACTGGCAGACACAGCAGACTCCATGGGCCTATCTGCTTCCTCTGAGAAGGAAAAGCCACTGCAATGACCAGGTACCATGGACCCCATGGGATGTGTTCCTCACCAAGTCACTAACTGGCCTGTCTCCCCTCAGGAGGATGTCCTCAATACCCAGTGTGGCTATGACGTCCGGCTCAAACTGGTGAGAGGGGTAGGAACTGCGCTGGGGCAGGCGGGGGTACTGGGATGGGAATGCGACTGTCTATAACCTCTTCTGGAAGGGGTGAGGCGTTCTTTGGGGAGAGGGTGCTGGGTCCCAGGAACCAGCCAGGCACCCAGGCAGCAGAGCGGGAGCAGATCCCTGGGCCTGGGAAGATGTGGGTTTACTCAGTCCTGCTCTGTGGAGCACCCTTGGGGTGCCCGGCTTTGCCCTAGAGACCAGAGATTTGGTGCTCATGAGACAGTCGGCTCTGGAGGAGTGGAGGGAGAACGACGGTAAGCCCTTAGAGAAAGCAGTATGAACAGCCATGTGACGGTCTCAGTTGAAAGCCTGGAAGAAAATAAGGGAGGTAATAGGAGAGGAGCTGGGCAGGCAGGAGGGGGCGTGCGTCCGTGCTGAGACCCCATGAGAAGAGCCGGCTTTGTGGAGGCCCTGTGGGGAGAGGTGCTGCAGGTTTAGGCCCTGGGGTGGGTGTGAGCTTGGCAGGCTGGGGAGGGAGGGAGCCGGCCTGAAGGGCAGGCAGGCTGAGCCTGGTGCCTGCGTGTCCCCAGGAACTGGAGCAGCAGGGCTTCATCCACACCAAAGGCTGCGTGGGCCAGTTTGAGAAGTGGCTGCAGGACAACCTGATTGTGGTGGCGGGAGTCTTCGTGGGCATCGCCCTCCTCCAGGTACGCTTGTGGCCCCACGTGCCCCTCCCCTTGCCGGGGCTGCCCTTGCTCTCCCCTCACCTGTCCTCTGTCTTACAGATCTTTGGCATCTGCCTGGCCCAGAACCTCGTGAGTGACATCAAGGCAGTGAAAGCCAACTGGTGAGGCCGCCACAGGCCATGGCCACATGCCCGGCCTACCCAGGCCTCTGGGGGGCCCCCCAGGACCCTCCTCCTATACTCGTGATGGGCAAGGCTGCAGGAGGCGTTCCTGCTGGGACTGAGCCCTGAGGGGTTTGCCTGAGCTGCTGTGCTGTCCACCCACGGAGAAAGCTGCCGTGCCTCTGCCTGGGCCGCTTGTCCTGTGTGCGCGTGTACACACACATGCAGGCACATGTGCACAGGGAGCCACCGTCTCGGCTACATTTGGGGTGGTGGGTTCTCCAGGGGACTGGGAAGGGTGCAGCTCAGAGGGTGCAGGCCAAGCGGGGTGGGAGGCGCTGTGTGGAGGGCCCCCCCGTTCCCCACCCCCGATGCTGGGATGCACCTTTCTGTGCACAGCTGTATGGGGCGCGTTGCCCCAGCCACCGCCTCACGCAGCTTCAGAGCACTCTTTTCTATGAGCTGTAACTTTGAGCCTGCCAGGAACCCACCTCAGCCTCAGTGTCCCAGACTCTGAAATGGGTCCCAGAATTTTCTTTCTCTTGCTTGCCTCTCAGGAGCAAATGGAATGATGACTTTGAAAACCACTGGCTTACACCCACCGTTTCCGAGGTCCTGTCCACGGCGGGGCCTCAGCAGAACTCTGTGATTGGGGCCCCTGGCCTGGCCCCACCCAGCCGACATGCTTTCTTTGGCCTGGGTGGTTTATACCCTGAGCCAACCTTTAAAAATTGGTAGATTCCACATAAGCGTCCAGACCCACAGCTTCTCTTGAAGAATGACCACCTGACTACGCCGGCTCTTCAGTGGCAGCACTACCTGGGACACTGCCTCCCCAGTCACCGAGGGCCCAGCTGGCCCGTGCTACTCACCTAAGTGCCGCCTGACGCTTGTACACTAGGAGCTGGCCTCTCCTGCCGCTGCAGGTTATTCCCTGCACCTCGAGGCCGCTGCGGGCCAACCTGGAGTGCAGCACAGGGACCTGAAGGGTGGGGAGGCTGGACCCCACTCTGAAGAGGGTGCAGCCTGGGAAGGGCGGCTTTGCTGGGGACTGCGGTGGGAGTAGAGTGTCCAGGAGAGGGTCTGAGGGGTGGGTTGGGGTCAGGACAATTTTGCAAAAGAAGTAGCTGGAAGCCATGGGACTGGGGGGAGCCTGTTTGGGGGCTCTGGATGGTTGATTCCTAGGAATCAAGTTCAGCATCTTCGCCGTGGCTGCAGAGCTGCCTGATGGGCACTAGAGGGCGCGCCAGCCCCACACTCCCTGGGTCTGGCTTCCTCCTGCAACCTCACTGTGGTAGAGCCTGTGCCTGCCTACTAGCGCCCCGGGCTTCCGAGAGTTTGGGACAAGAGCCAACTGGCTCAGGCTTGGGAAGGCTGACTGCTGCCCTCAGCTCCGCCTCATCAGCTATGTGAATGGGTATGTGTGGAGTGATCCTGCCGCCCCCTGCCTGGGCTCATCCAGAGATCTCAAAGTCAGACGCCCCTGGGTCCACGTAGGTGGTGTAAACGGATGAAACAGGCCCTTGAGTTGGGAGCCTGCTTCACTGTGACTTTACGTCTGTTGCTGGAGACAAACACATCGTGATGAGAGAAAGTTCTCACAAGCTAGTCGGTAACAGCCACTTACCTTGAGACCGATAGAGTGTGGTGGGGATGGGGGCAGAGCACGGGTCCCCATCTGACAGTGGCCGCTGCCGTATTCAGATGCAGCTAATTGCTCTGGTGTGGGAATACAGGCCTAATGCCAGAAATCTGGAGAAGCCAGAGATACAGATTTGTATGCGAGATGTCCTGATTTTTTAAGTTGTTGGCAGAAACGAATTCAGAAATCAAATCTGCAGGCCAAACAAGGTGCAGGGCCCAGTTTTGGCCCCATGCCCCTGTAGGTCCCTCCGGGACAGTCACCCCTGGGGCCCTGGCTGCTCTGCTATTCAGGGATGCTGGGCACTGCTGCTGGGTGGCCAGGGTGTGGGGCATGTGCCCAGCAATGTGGCTCCTTGGCCCCACTGGACAGTGTCCTGGGCCCCTGACAGGCGCTGGCTGGGAGTGGTTTATACATATACAATAAATGCAGCTCGCAGCATTGTGCATGTGTCTTGCATTTTCACTTTCATTTTATCCCTCAAGTCACATAACACCCTGTGTGGTGGAATTTCTTTTCCTGTTGAGGAGATGGACTCGGGAGGGAGGTTGCCTGGAGCGCATAGCTGGGAGGAGGGACACCAGTCTGACCCCTCTTGCTGGAGTTTTGCACCACACCTGTCCTGTGTATCTGATGCATTTGGGTAAAACCTCTGTACTCAAAATAATAAGGGTGGTTCATTCATCCCCCAAGTGTGAGTTGAACATCAACTGAGGGGTGGAGATACAGAGAAGGGCGAGGTCCTGCCTGTGTGCTGCGTTCTTGTGGGGGAGACACAGAAAGCAAGCTGGCCAGCATTTTTGTTAGTAATACATGCTATGAAGAAAGCAGGAGTGACTGCAGAGGGGCCTGGGAGAAGGGGAGCGGAGGGGCACCATCTCTGGGCTTCTCTGGGGGAATGATGTTCTAGGTTTTAGTACCAGCTTCTGTAGAGGCCCTGAAACCAGGGTGGGCTCCATGTGAGGGAGCCTGGGGTGGCTGGAGATGTGGGAGTGGGGAGGGGCAAAGGGCATGAGCACAGGGAAGTAGTGTAACCAAGATCTGTTTGGAAACAGAATTGAAGAGATGGGATGGGAGTGATGAGTGGGAGCGGTTGAGGCCCTGGCTAGGGACCCAGAGTAATCCAAAGCTCAGTTCTGCTACTGGATATCCATTCTTCCATCCATCCACCCACATTCACCATCCATCCATCCATCCACTCACCCACCCACCCATCCATCCACACATTCACTCATCCATCTGTCCACATGTTCACTCATCCATCCATCCATCATCCACGCACCCACCCACCACCCACCTACCCATTCATCCACATGTCCATCCATCCATCCATCCACTTACCCACCCACCCACCTACCCATTCATCCACACATTCACTCATCCATCCATCCATCATCCACTCACCCACCCACCACCCACCTATCCATTCATCCACATGTCCATCCATCCATCTATCCGTCCATCCATCCATCCATCCACTCACCCACCCACCCACCTACCCATTCATCCACACATTCACTCACCCATCCACCCACCTACCCATTCATCTACACATTCACTCATCTATCCATCCATCATCCACTCACCTACCCACCCACCTACCCATTCATCCACACATTCACTCATCCATCCATCCATCCACCCACCTACCCACCCACTTACCCACCTACTCACCCATTCATTCACATGTTCACTCATCCATCCATCTGTTCACTCATCCATCCACTCACCTACCCTCCCACCTACCCATTCATCCACACATTCACTTATCTATCCATTCACCCACCCTTCATCCATTCAGCCATCCACTTACTCGTTCATTCATTCATCCACTCACCCATCCATTCATCCAGTCACCCACCTACCCATTCATCTATCCATCCACCCACCCTTCCTCCATCCATTCACCCATCCACCCACCCATCCCTCCATCCATCCCTGTTCATCCTCCATTGACTCACTCAGCTATCCACTGCCATTCACTCAGGTAGGCCCTAGCTAGAGGCTGGGGTTACTGAGGCAGCTCAGACCTGCCCCTACCTTCCCGGAGCCCAGTATCTTGTTGGAGGCAGACAAGGAACGCTTGCTAATGTACAATGTATACGTGGTGACAAGGACATGATGATCATTGCTAAGTGGGGTCTTGGGCTGGCTACAGACAAATTTCCTGTCCCCATAGTAGAACTTAGAGCAGTTCTGTGCACCAGGGGCTCTGACCCACAGATGATGCAGCTTCTCCAGAAACGCAAAAAACACAAGGGAGCTTGTAAGGCTGGCCATCCCTCTAGAAGGGTCCCTGGGCCTTGGGACCAAGGTCACCTCCCACCCTTCGTCAGGATGAGATGCACACTGGTAGAGACAGGTGCATACTGGCAGCCTGGGAGTCCCCTGTCTAACCACAGGAGAGGCTGCCAGCAGCTCCCTGGTCAGCTTGGTGGGAGGACATCCTGTGACACCAATATGCCCTATAGAGAGGGCTGAAGGGACAGAGAGCACCCAGGCTGGCGAGCTCCTTTATCTCTGGGTGAGGTGGTCAGATGGGCTGGAGAGCTCCCTCTTCCAGTTACCACCAGAGGGCACCAAAGTGCCGCCTACGCAGCACAGCAGGCTCAGCTCGCGGAAGGGGTTCTGTGTAGGGTCATTGGGGCGACTCCTAGGGCCAAGCAAGCCCATGCCATCGTTTCAGAGACCTGGGGGCCCACCCTGCTGGTGTCAAATCCAGGCCTTACCACCCTCTGCCTTGTCTTCTCCAGGGGGTAGAGCAAATGATGCTGCCTGCCCACGGGTGCCTCTCTCAGTGCTCAAAGGCCCCGAGCCCACTTGCTGGGCTGGGCGGTTGGTGGTGTCTGCTAGACAGAGCTGGAGAAGGAGGCGAGCATCCCTCTCTCTAGGAGGATGACGCAATGCGCTCCACAACCTACACCTCCATTCACTCATTCAGCCAGGGCAACGGAGCACCCTGTCGCTGCCAGGCACTGCCGCGGGCACTTACGTGAGGGACAAAACAAAGGCCCTGCCTCGTGGAACTCACAGCCCAGGCCAGGGAGCAGCTGGCTTTGTCTGCCAAAGGTCACATATAATGGCAAAAACGCAACTCCTTTTGCACCAACCTAATTAAATCCACTAGGCTGTGGGGCCGTGCTCCCCTCGACTCTGCCTTCATGGTGGAAAGCAGCTCCGGGTGGAGTGTCCCCATCACATCGTACTCGTGGACACTGACGGCGAACCTCATGTGATTTTCATGGGTCATGAATATCATCCTCCTTTTGATTTTCAACTATTAAACAACAGAAAACCGTTTTTGGCTCTCGAGCTCTGTAAACACAGCTAGCGGGTGGGATCCACCTCGTGGCTGGAGTTTGCAGACTCAGGTCCAGGAAGGGAGGGGACGGTGCGCGGTGAACATCATCACGTGAGCCTACCCTGCTGCGAGTGGGAACACAGCGGACCAAGCAGGGGTGAGGCAGGGGCAGGCCTGGCACTAAATGGGTCAGTCGGAGCGGGCCTTGCTGTCAATGCCAGATGGAGCAAAGACCTATCATTTTAACTGTAACACATTTTTGACAGCACAAGTGAAATAGGAACCCATTCTACTCAGAAAATTGGCCGGGCATGGTGGCTCACGCCTATAATCCCAGCACTTTGGGAGGCAGAGGCAGGTGGATCACCTGAGGTCAGGAGTGTGAGACCAGCCTGGCCAACATGGTGAAACCCTGTCTCTACTAAAAATACAAAAAAAAAAAAAATTAGCCAGGCATGATGATGGGCGGCTGTAATCCCAGTTATTCAGGAGGCTGAGGCAGGAGAATCACTTGAACCTGGGAGGTGGAGGTTGCAGTGAGCTGAGATCACACCATGGCACTCCAGCCTGGGCAACAGAGCAAGACTCCGTCTCAAAAAATAAATAAATAAATAAATAAAGTTCATGCATTCAGCCGGTTCGTGTCATGACTGCACGGGTGCCTCCCAGCAGCGGTGAGCCATGCTTTTCCTCTCTACCCGATGCATGAGGATTGTCAGGCTGTGCCCACTTTGGGGCCCTTCCCAAGCCAAGGCATATTGGTACAAGGCATGGCCAAGACCTCCTGCTTCATTGGGCAGGAGGACGAGGGACATGGGAGGTGGCCCCAAATCAGGGCTGATGATGGAGGTGGCCCCAGCAGGTCCCAGCTCAGGCCTAGGGGCCTCATTTCTGCTCCTCAGCCCAGGCGTTGGTTTGATGGGCAGACCACAGGTCTGGAGGGTCTGGGCGTCAGCCCATCAGAGATGGGAAGTCACAAAGGGGCCCCTTGCATGCTAAGGCTGTTGCCACAGTAATGCTTCTGGCCCCCTTGGCAGCCATGTGGAGAGATGGGGATGTCAGCACCCTGCAAAGAGAGGGGCCTCTGCTGTGGCCCAAGCATCCAGCCCTTGACTAGAGGCTGCCTTGGGTGCCGGAGGCCTGGCTGCACCTGCACACCTGGGTCCTGCTTCCCGGGATCATCCTCTCTGGGAATTAGCTCTCTAGGTCCTCCCTGCCAGAGATCTGCTTTCCTCCACCAGCCCCTTCCCAGGATGCTCCAGTCTGTCCCACTCCCAATCTGTGGGAACCTCCCTGGAATCATTCTTGGGGTGGGTGCAGTCCACTCCAGCAGGACCACGTGGAATTCAGCCAGCTTGCCATCAGCCAATGTTCACCAAATAACGTTGTGCGCCAGGTAGTGCTGGGCACCTGGAATTCATTAGTGACTCCAACACAGTCCCTGCGCTCCAGGGGCTCACTGTCCGGGGGAGACACAGACAGGTACATCACCAGGCTTTAAAAGTGATTGATTTGTTCAAATGGGTAGTATAGGCAGGTGGCTAAAAACCACACACTGCATGGAAAGATAAGTGCAAATCCCCTCTCCCCTGTTCCCTGGTCCCCTTCCCCTCCCAAGGACAGCGACTGTGGCCAGTGCTATCAGTGCCACCCTGGACGTGGGCTATGCCTTAGAAAGCCGAGTTCCTCAAGAAACAAAGCAGGCCAGAGCCACATCCACAGACCCGCACGGCCCACCAGAGGCTTCTGTACACTCTGTCTGTGTTTCTCACTGACCAGCATTTCTGGGAGATAATGACATATCAGTATGTGTAGATCTACTCAGTTACTTTCAACAACAGCAAAGTGATAATAATAACAAGAATTTATACTTGCTATGTGCTGGACGCTTCTCAGAGCACTTTGTTTATATTAACTAATCTACTTCTAAGAACTCAAGGGATAGGCACCTGCTGGTCTTGCTGCACAGGCGAGGAAGCCACGAGTGCCCCACTGGGTGGACACTGCCTGACGGACTCAGCCCATCCTCTTGCACATGCAGGAGGTGTCTAGGCAGCGAACACCCTTGGATTCTATCTTTGGGCACTTGGATCTCTGTGGGATACATGTCTGGAAGCGAATTGCCAGGTTAAAGGGCAGGTGCATTT